TTTTTTATTTTTAGAAAATGCAATATTGACGAAAATACAAAAATGTACAAAAAGAAACCCATGCCTCTAAAAAATACAAAAGAATAAAAAAGTAAGAAAAAGGAAATATTGCCACCGGACGTTATTCTGTTTGCGCACGCGCAAATGAGCTGATGGTACGGATCGGGTAATGACAACCCCCCCTACCCTATTAAAGGAACATTTTTCTACAATTGTGGATGATAACTTCCTTAGACTTTATTTTCTTAGTTTTATAACTAATGGTAACTTTTAACTTTGCATCATCTTGAATAGCTGTTTATTTTGGTGAACAACAGGTTGGGGCAGCACCGAGTCCAACCACAAAGAAATAATTGTCTGGATAAAACTAATTATTTTGATGGTTTTTATTTAATTTAAAAATGAACAGGCCATAATGAAAATGGACTTAAATTAAAAGAAAACTAATGACTCTATTTTTAAAATGTAAGGAGTAGAAAGTAAAAAGTTGTCTAGAAAATTGTTATTCCAATAAAGTATAGATAGCCAGAATTTCTACTTAAATATAATGAAGTATTTGTTACTTGATGCCTCTGTTGCTAAGCTAGTTAGAATTTATATAAACTTGTTCTCTGCACCTTATGTTTGAATCTGTAAGCAGCGTTTATGGAGCTGCACAGAGCAGCTTTTTACGAAAGCTAAAGCAATAAATGATGAACGTGTTAATGAGTGGGAAAACTGTTGCTGTGGCACATTAACAGGGACAAGGCTCTGGAAGCCAAGGATGACGTCACTGAACTCCTGGAGGACTTGGATTCAACGAAAAGTTCCTTCCCTGACTTGGAGGGAAAACTGCAGGACAGCATGGATCTCATCCAGAACCTGAACAAAGACCTGACCCAGGTAGGAAGATTAAACCCTCAGTTTAACATTCATTCATCAATTGAAGAAAAACTTCCCCTCACTGTTTAATTGATTCAATTCCTCGATGAAGGCTGAAGGCCAGCTGACGCCAGCAGAGAAAGCTCTGGACGATACTGGAGCGCTGATGCCGCCAATGAAGGAAACGGTAGACAGACTGAAAGAGCTGCTGCAGGACGCAGAGCAGAAGGCTCCTGATGCTCTGGAGGACGCACAGGAAGCCGTGGAAAAGGCAGCCGCTGCAGAGCCGGTACGTTCCTCCAGCAAATAATAACCTAAACCCAGGGGGGGATTCAGGAAATGTGGGGCCCTAGGCAAAGACAGGC